GGTGGTGGGCTGAGGTGCAGCACTCAGTGACCTGCCCAGGACTCTGTGAGGACTGAAGTAAAATTTCCTGCATCCAGTCACCTGCCATGACTGCAACGGGCGGGAGAGAAAACTGCTCTTCTCCGTTGTCTGTGTTTGTTTTGTAATATACTCTTGCAGTGGGGGGAGGTGTTGAGTAGCTGCTTCAGCATCGCAATAAAACTTGTCTCTTGGAACTGCAGTATTGCAAAGATCTGCCTTTACAGTGGGAAATGTAAATGAGAATTTTCTCCTTATTGTCTATGTCATGTCTTAATCCCGGTACTTCAGTAGTGTATTTTATTTTAATTTAGCTTCTGCTAGTGAATTAGAGCTATTTTTATGCCTGTACCAAATTGTGCTCCAGAATTTTGAGCAATACCAAAATGTCTCTGTCCTTCCTGTTTGCTGACATGCGGATGGCATTCATCTGTAGAGTCCTGTTGCCATTCATTTATTCCATACTTTCTTGGGACTTGGGGAGGGAGTTCTTATAAGGGCAGTTAGTGATAGAACAAGGGGAAATGACTTTAAACTGGAAGAGGGCAGATTTAGATTAGATATTAGGAAGAAATTCTTTACTCTGAGGGTGGTCAGACACTGGCACAGGTTGCCCAGAGAAGCTGTGGCTGCCCCCTCTCTGGAAGTGTTTAAGGCCAGGCTGGATGAGGCTTTGAGCAACCTGGTCTAGTGGAAGGTGTCCCTGCTGATGGCAGGGGGGTTGGAACTGGATGGTCTTTAAGGTCCCTTCCAACCCAAACCATTCTGTGATTCTATGAGACCTAAATGAGTTGTAGTTTTCTTGAATCGTGTAATGTGGTGGTACTTGGCCGTACTAACTTTGCCATAAGCACTTCCTAAATGTGTCTCAGAGCATAGAATTCGAGTGAAAAGTAAAACCTTTCTTCCATGCCGTTATTGTGGCTCTAATGCCTCTGAACCGGGAAGGCTGGAACTGGCCTGTTCCGTACCTACAACTATCTGGGTTTGAAAGAGAGCTGGGAAAGAAACAGAGTAGGAAGGAAAAATTAAAGGAAATGTTTAACCTGAGGAAGTAGAGCAGCAAAAAGAGAGAGTTGTAGGGAGTGGTTGGAAAGGATAGCAATGCCAGCATTGTCTCTACCAGTGATAATGACCTCCATTTGTCTTGTGCAGCTGGAGTTGAGAAGACTGTGGGGATGGCATGTTTTGTACCTTTAGAAGATAGACAGACAACCAAGACGGGTTGTTCTGTAGTACCCTCTCTTACCTGGAAGAAAGAGATGTGACACATAAAGGATCTATCTCATTTTTTCTGCGCCATTCTCAATGCAGGGCAAAACACTGCTAAGATTATCTTGTAGTTTAGCTTTGTGAAAGCATATTAGATAATTAATGTTTTAGGCAAAGGAATTTAAACCTTTATGTTTGTATGTGGTAGCCTTTAACATACAGCAGCACACACATGTACATACATCAGAAACTGGAGTTTAGGAGTGTTTTGGTACAGAAATTTCTAAAATTAATGAGCATGCTGTTGAACTGTGGAATCAAAGTTATTTTGTAGCAGTAGCTTGGCACAAGAGGAAACTAGTAAATATTTTTAGTCTTAATTTGGGATTAAATTACTTTTATGGGGGTTTGGGTTGAAGATAGTTTTTGCTCTGCACGAAACATTAATTCTTTTGAAAAAAATACATTCTCTTCTAAAAGAGCTATTGTAATTTAGCAAAGTGACTGATGATCTTGCAGATATTTTAATTAAAAAACTGAGTTACTTTGCCTGCTTCACAACAGTCTTGAAACAATAGTTTTGCATATGCATAGCTGTTCATGTTTTAAAACATGAATTTTAATTTTTACAGCATTCTGAGGTACATTGCAGACATTATTAGGTGAAGAAACAGATGCAGAGAGGTAATATGATTTACCTTAGGCCAGAGTGGCAAAAATTAGATTATGGCCAAAGTGTTTGTCTCAGCGACTTTTGGATTTAGTTATTACTGCATCGTTCTCTTTTAAAAGGTTACAAATTTCTGAAATTATGTAATACAGAGAAATATTTTTGTCTGAGAGAAGGGATTCATGCAGAAAAGCACTGCAAGGCTATAACAGTGTCTTTGGTTGGTTGTTGGGGTTTTTTGTGTGCTTGTTTGTTTTTATTTCAGAAGGCTGAGACCAAAGAGGAATTTGTTAAAGTCAGAAGGAGGGATTTGGAAAGGCTGACAACTGAGGTTATGCAATTGCGGGATTTCTTACCCAGAATATTAAGTGGGGATATCCTGGGGACGTTCCAGAAACTGGATGCTATTGAATCAAGTGAGTAGTGCCATGTTACTAGCTATTATAGTTTCTGCCAAAACCACTTAGAACAAACTGTCATGCCCTTACAAATAGTTGTAGAGTTTTTGGAAGTATTCCAGATTAAACTTTGATGTTCAATGATTGCTTCAGTAAATTAATGTGTTTGTAATGAAGAAAATTACAAACTGCATTAGAAATAATTAGACATGTAAAATCTTTAAAAATATTTTACTGTGGATAAAAGCATACTTAGTTCAGTCAGTGAGGGAAACTCTATCAGGAAAAAAAAATGATTCCTCTGAGAAAAGGTGAAAGCATTCTCTTTTTCACATTGTCACTTTAGATGCACAGCAAGAAAATATGGTAAATATCTGTGAATAAGAAGTTCAGCTTAAAGGAAGAGATAATATTGTCGTGTTTAGCTCATCTTGTTTTTTAGCTTGAATGCTTTTATTGCCATAAATATTCATAATAATAAAAAAATATTGAAGACTCTCTGTTTTAAAGGTCTTTTTACTGTTGTCCCCAAAGTCCAGTTTTTCAGTGTTGTGATTCTCTGTGCATTATTTCTGAACAATCGCTCTGCTCCCAACGTGCCATCGGGACCAGGTCTGAGTCATCGCCTTCCCTAGGGCCTGTAGCTTGTGTGCAGCACTACAGTTCACCTGTTCTCCTGGGAACTGGTTTGGTCTGCAAAGACACAGGACGAGCAATGAATGTAGAGAGTACACCTCTTCTAGAATATCAGGTGATTAATTGGAAATTAATTTGCAACAGCTGCCTAAGAAAGAGTAAGATAGAGCCTCAACGCCTGTCTCCGATGCCAAGTAATATATTGGGGCAGAACTTCCAGCTGCCTCAGTGGTCCACTGTTTGGAAACATTCTTCCACGCCATCAAATTCTAACAGAGATGAGGAGACTGTGCCACCTCTGCTTCTGCCAGTCGAGTCATCATCTGTGTCACAAGAAGTGATGTAGGATCTGGAAGTGTTCTCTGTGCCATTGCAGGGCATCAAGGACTTTCCAGTTGCACAAGTGTTCCAAGATCCTCAACTAGTCAGATCCTTGTTTTACTTTTATGAGTGCTCAGTCTCAAGATTTCCCTCACGGATCCTTCTTGATGCTGCTCGTGACAGGCATCAAGGAGACACTGTCAGGCCCTTCCAGCAGAAGGTTTATGGCATCAACATGAGGATTTTGAGACTTTCCTTCAAACGTTCTGCTGGCTAGCCAGCACTCTAGGTCCTTTGGAGGGGTACCTGAAGCCAAGTCAGCCTTTGAACTCTCTTGAGTATATCTCTGCAGCATAGATTTATTTTGCAATTAGTGAGGCTGTTTGAATATTTATTCAGGCTCTTGCCGTTGTTTGCCCCTACACCTGGACAAGTCGAGTGGTGATTTTTGCTACTCCACTCTGCTCCTGCCTCTGCCGCACGCAATCGGGCAGACTGGAAGGAGGCTGTGGAGAATACAGTTCACAAATGGTTGAATATCACAAGCCATCTTCAGTCACAGGATGGTGAGCTCTCTCGTGCTGTTTATTAAATACAGCCTCTCGGTGTTGGCATATGAAGCTTACAGGAGTCCTGGCAGCTGCTGGAGTTGTTTTTTCGTGTTGTTCTTACAGAAGCATAATGGGTGATTTGTACATCTCTCTAGACTTTCATCAGGTTTTGCAGTTCTCTAAATATTGTAAACACGAATGGTTAGCAGATTCTCATGCTCCTCAAGAAGGGAAGATTATAGTTGGAGACTTGCAACACTTCTGGCCCATTCCCTTGTGAGACAGATGGAGTCTTGAATAGCTTTGAGAAGCCTAGAGATCTTTACCCGTTTCACTTGCATATCTAGGTCAGTAGGGATACTCATTTGCTATGGGAGCATCCCATAGGTGGTATTTGAGACCTGAACTGGCAATGGTCAATGCTATAAACACCAACTACTTTTCAGGCTGGTTGTCAGGGGCTTTGCTAAGGTTTTTGCTGGGGCAATTGTTAATTTCAAAAAGAAAAGTCTGTTTTGTTCTTACTACTCTCCTCAGGAAGAGTGTTTGGCTCCAGGCATCTTAGAAAAATAGCTCCAACAAATTTTCTGTATTATTATGCATCTGTTTAGTGGAACTTGGCCCACCGGGGAAATGTTAAAAATTGCATTTAACATTGATCTAGAATTTGGATCAGTAGAATTGGAATTCTATTATTTGTTGGCATTCATTGTAATTGTACTAATTTCTGCACCTCCCAGAGCTTTGAGATTAGATCTCCAGTCCAGAGAATCTCCTGGTGTGACCTGCAGCATGGATGAGAATGAGCCCACCTGAAACGTGGGCCTCCTCTTCTTTCACTGTGCCCATTGCTTGCTCTGCTTTTGAGTCTGCTGTCTGTCCTGGGGGCAAATGCCACTTCTTCCCAGAGTCAGATTCACCACTGCAGGGGTAAAGTTATCTATTTCCTGTTTGGATGAAGATGCCATTCCATATTTCTTGCTCGTCCAAGTCGATAGCAAAATCTTCTTTTTCACTTGGTGGAGGTAGACGGTCTGGGCCTCCAGATTTTACTGTCAAGAGGGAAGGAACTTTTTTACTGGGGGTTAGAACTTGCAGCCAGTGGGAGAACCTCTTGGGCTTCCCTATGTTCTGCTTAGGACCACTGTGTGCAGGAGTCAGCAGTACAGCTACGGTCTTTGGTGTCAGGGAAGTGTCTACTGCTGCGTGTCAAGAGGCTATGAAACGTCAGGACTGGTGCATACAGCCTGGTATCCTCTTCAGAGCAAAGGTGTGCATGGCTGAGAGGGTGACTGGATGTAATAGGGGGAGTTTCCAGAAGTGAAACACAGCTGGAAGTAAATCTCTCTTCATCAATGTTACCCTTTTTTCTCTTCTAGAATGGGTCTAGTTTGCCTTGACATAAAACACTGTGATACCTTAGAAGAGGTTGACACATCCATCTTTTATCTGGAGGACTTCAAAAGATACTGGTGGCATTGTATTAACACTCAGTAAATACTGTTCCCCTCCTTCTGGCTCAGTTTTGGTTCCCGGACCTTTGAAGTCTGACATTGAAGGATGTGGCATCTTTGTGTGTCTGCTGGCTGTGCTGATACTGGATTCAGGGTGGATCCCTCCTCTTGGAGGCTGGAAGCGATTCTTCTCATTCAGCAGAGCTTGTTTCCCAGCAGTGAGAGAGATTTTCACTGGGAGTTGGGTTCCACTGGATGTATTTACCTGACAAGGATAAACAGGTTCTCGATCTGCCACTGATAAGCAGAGCATGCCCTACTCTGCCTCAAGACATCTTTCTGTCAGATACTTAAGATTAACACACACGTAGTAACAGGTCCATGGGTCTGAATTTAACTGAAGTTTCCTACTGCTGACCAGAATTATTCCTCAAAAACTCAATTAATCCATCTGCCCTTTCATTCTTTTCATGTGGGTTGCAGGTTGAAAAGAACTGAAAGCACAGAGCGCGTGCCCTGGTGCATCCGTGTTTCCCAGGAGTGGCCCCTTGCCTTGCCTGGCCTCTTTGGTTTCTGTTAAAAAGTCTCAGTGTTGAAGGCTTAGGATCACAGAAGGGCTGAGTGAAAATAGGTTCCACCTCTTTAGAAAAGCTGTTTGTGGCTAGATTATCTTCTTTGATACCTGCCACACAAAGCAACTGAGAAGATAATATTTTGTCAAGTAGGACCAAAAAAGAAAGGAATTTATTTCCAAATAATATGGAATTACTAAATAAAATGCCAGAATACAAGCTCTTTGGATAATAATGGCTGGGTTTTTTTTTTAATGATATTTTCTTTTTGTGATTGAATTTGATATGTTCTTTGGTAAATACATTCAAAAATATTGACCCCACGTCAGGGGAAGTATTTGAAGTGTGTTAAGCCATAGACCAGACTCTCATGATCAAGGGTATGGTGCTCGAAGTGAGGTGTCACTTGTTTTTCAAGCTAACCAAAATTACAGTAGATGATATTTGGACATTACTTTTTGGAATTACTTAAATATGTTTCCTTTCTTCAGTATAAGTACTAAGCATCCATAATTGTGGTTTTTAAAAGTAAAATACAGTATGCGACAACTTGTTTCCTTTCTTCAGTGTAAGTACTAGGCATCCAGAATTGTGGTTTTTAAAAGTAAAATACAATATGCGACAATTGTTAAAAATATCCTTCAAAGTTAATTTTTTTAAACAAAATTGGGAAATATAATACTTTTAACTTGATTTCCGTTCACTAAAATAAAGCATCTAAATTGGAATGTATTTCTGATAACATCAAAGATTTTTTTTTTTTCCAGGGAATCATAAAATTTGCTTATCACTGGCATATAATGTTTAAACAGTTTATAATGTCTTATAATTTTTTATAAATATTAATTTAAAACGTTTGAAGTAGTTGCATTTTATTATTTCTACTCATAAAATTTGTACATTGTATATTGAAACACTTGCTTTTTACTGATCTTGGTATTTTTTTTCCTCAAATTTTCACTATACTCACTGAATTTCAAAGCTACTAGACATGAAAACCAACAAAAGTAGTAAAAAAATTGAGTAATTTTTTAAAAATCCCTGAAGAGCCGGAGCTCAGTTCCAGAATGGTATCTTACTGGCACACAGTGTTTAACAGTTAGATGCGATTGAGTCTTTCCCTGTTTCAAATCAGAAACATCATGTTCATTTAGTTTCTTATAAGAACTGTAGCAAATGGTGAAATACCAGTTTAGCCACGAGGAGGTGGTCTAACACAAGCCATTATTTGAAGCACCTCATTAATGTTGCTTCATGGATTCTTTTTTTCTTTAGTGCAAGCCCGTGTGTCATAACTTATTGCTTCATTTATCTGATTTATCCTATCACAGACATGGAGAAAAAGCAGGAGGAAACAGAGCAGCTGAAAATGGATTGTGAACACTTCAGAGCCCGTCTGGAAACAGCCCAGGCAGATTGCATGAGAGAGAAGAAGGTATATTTGCTGTCAGAATATTAGTATAATATAGTCTGTATGCTTGAGCTTTAATAACAAAAGCAGTAATTATCAGGTTTTCATATTCATGTCACAAAATACATCCTCAGCCTGGAAAACAATCTGGGATTTCTATTTATATAGTCAGGTGATGAGTAAATTACTTAGCTGTAAGTTCATAACTGATTTTTTTTTCCTCTTGATATTTCTGGAGCAAAAGGATCAATATTATAACTAGTCAAAATATAATACCATACAGTACTAAAAAGCATTTGGTGTGTACAAACAGAGGCACAGCTGACAGTTGGTCTCCTGCTTGTGTACATAATTCTTGCCTAACTGCCTACAGCTCTCTAACTTCCATCCTGTGTCAGGTGTGGTTGTATGGGGGGGTTACATTATGGGCTTCTCAGCAGGGTTTGATCTGGCCTATGTAAAGTTAAAAATCAACCATTACTATTTTGTTTATATTAACAAGTTGAAGTAAAACATTGGGTTTTCACAGAATCACAGAATGTCAGGGATTGGAAGGGACCTCCAAAGGTCATCTAGTCCAACCCCCCTGCCAGAGCAGGATCACCTACAGGAGGTCACACAGGAACATGTCCAGGCAGGTCTTGAATGTCTCCGGAGAAGGAGAGTCCACATCCTTCTGTTATGTACACAGGCAGGAGACCAACTGTCAGTGGTCATTTTTGTCATTTTGTACAACACAATGTACTAAATGAAACTGGCTTCTCTTTTTGGGCTTGCTGTGAGGTGTGTACCTTTGTTCTGTACCTAGTTTTAACAGTCTTTCTCAATCCACCTACTGATCTGATTGCTGTGTACAGCTGTGAGTCAAAGAACAATTGCAGGGCTCCTTTTTCTCTGTCAATATTGCATTTAGTGCGTATGAGAGGGGAGATTCTTAACAATGAAGAAATGGCAAAGACCGTGACTTGTCAGACTGTGGGTCTTCTGTGAAGCCACTGGGGTTCAAACAGGATCACACAGGATAGCGCCTTAATTTTTGAGAGAGTTGTGAGTTGTGATTATTTGCTGCAGAAATTTGTTTCCTTGGAGCTGATAGGTATCTTCAGTAGTCAGCAGAAGCTCACTTTGGTGGCTTCTAGAATTAATATCTGCAGCCTTGGGATTGCACAAATAAAGATGAATCTACAGAAATTATTTTTTAAAAGGAATAAATGAAGAGTTTAGACATGCACTTTTAGGGCACATCTGCACGGACAAGTAATTCTGGAATTAAGTTTTGATATGAATGAAAAGTGTGATGGAATAGCTGTCTATGTATGTCTAATATTCCTTACTTCAAAATAAGTCTCTTCTGGGATAGCTATTGCAGTTTGGCAGTAGGTACTCATTGAGTTTTGCTGTGCACCCAGGTCTTTGGTTGTATAAGCATTCGGGATGAAATCTCTGTAGGATTTAATGTTGCTGCTTTAGATATTAATGAAGTGGGTCCCACCCTCTGGTCACATTCCTATTACAAAATAAATTGCAGGCTGTTTAGGTTTGTGATTTCTTTTGGATGAAAGTTTTACTTAAAGCGTGAGTAGTTTACTAGGAGTAGTTTGTCTTGGTGTTCCTGATCAAAGCTCTTCTCTTCATGTCTTTGCCGTTGTACAGTCTACACTAGTTGTCTAAATGGCTTCTGTTATGTGCCACAAAGGTGTATTCCTCTGAGTGGACCGTGCTTAGGTACGTTGTGAAATCCTTTAGCTTTTTGGGATAAAAGAAGATGGTGTATGTATATGTGTGGTTTTTGTTCCTGTTAATCACTTTGCATGGTGTTTTTCATTTCCTTGCGTATAGTTTCTGAATTATTTTCTACATGTTTTATCTTCTGAAGGAAAAGGAAATGATTCACTGAAACAAACGTAAAATAAATGCATTTTCTAGTTGAGTTGAGCAGTGCCCTTTTCTGAGGGGATCATAAATCAACATTTTGCATTCCAAAATTTCTGTGCAGTGCTGTACCACTGATTAGGGGATTGCCATGCTTTCTGAACCTGAGCAAAACTTGAAGTGCACATGTTATTCTTGGCTAATGTCTTCTTTGTCTGTCTTTTCATAGTTATATACTTAAGCACTGCTGTATTCTTGTGCCTTGACCCTCTCCTGAAGATGGTGGTGTTGCATAGCACAGTGATTGCTTCGTGATGTGAGCTCTCAGGAGTGTTGCTTCCAGCTAGGCTATTTGCTTTTGCAGGCTCTGTTTATTTTCCTGGCTCTTGAATGTACTATTTTGTTTTCCTTGCTTCATACCTTTGTTCTGATGTTACTTTTGATCTATTAAAATCTCTGGCATTTCTTGTGCTGGCTTTGCATGCTTGCTGGGGGGATCTAGCTTTGGTATTGCAGAGTTTTACATCTTACTATTTGGTATTCAGATCCAAATGCAAAATGCAAATAAAATGTATTGAAAGCTACATTTTCTTAAGACAAGCACAGTGCAGAAAAAAAAGACAGTGATAACATAGGGGTTAGACAGGAAGATGCCTGTGGACATGATGCACATGGTGACAGAAAAGCTGATAGGTCTGGGAGTAAGTTATGTAAAAGATGAAATTTAGCAAACTTGCTTAAAAAATATCTTAAGTATTAAGAAATAAGAGACTTTTCCTGGGACTTCTGTGCCTAGGGAATCATCAGCAAGTGTCAGTCTTTTGCATATATTAAACTATAAGGTGAAAGAGACTCCAGAGAGTAAATATGCACATAAATCTGCTTGACAAATTCAATTTGAACTTTACAAATCCTAGCCTGTGTGTTCCATTAGCAGCATGATAAAGCAATGCAAATCAGGCTGTCAGGTGTGGTGCAGGAGGCTAGGTGGGTAATTGATAACAAACAGAGTATGAGGAGCTTTGTACTGGTTGATATCATCTTATATAAATTTTCAGTTTACATTTCTATTTTTTCCAAACCCTCAACACAAAACTTTCAAGTGAACCCCTAAAATGACAAGATGCTTATTTTAAAATTTTGATAGGAACACACGGTTGAAAATTTTGTTCTGCTTACTTGCTTTCAAAATTGACATAGAAAAGATTCTTTCTCATTTCGCCAGACTTCATCCTGATGGCTAAACACACAGGGGAGGCTGGGCTGAGGAGGGTGCTTTCTGTGGTGAGTCTGAAAATCCCAGGTCCACAACATAGGCAGAGCAAGATCCTTCTTTTCTTTTGACATTGTGTGATCTATGATTCTCTCTCTCTCTCTCCTCTAATACTTGAGTGAGCATCACTTTTCTTGACTGGCCTTTATCTTTCCTGGCAGCGCTGTCTTAATACCACCCCGCTGAGAGTCAGCAGGCAGCCCCCACCCACCCTGAGAAGATCGCAGACTGTGGTATCCCTGCCTTGATATCAGTGTCTGCACTAGCTCTTAAGTTGAGAAGTGCAGCAGCTTCACTACCCCTGTGGCACCTGGTAGAAAGCCAGTGAGGCCTAGAATCATACCTAATCTCATGATACTCTTCTGGTCAGCTTCCCTTGTGATTGGAAAGAAGCACTGCCCAGTTGAAATTGTGTTTTGGTCATGTTGGATTGCTCTTTTCTTCCTTTAGGCTTTGTAGCAAGGATCACTGAGCAGCTCACTTTGGTGATAGATACATGATGGTGGCTGGACTTTCTTGGTATGAAAGGCCCTCCAAACTTGAAACCTTAGGTGTGTTTTTCCAGGGACTCTGTCTTACTTTGCCACTGCTGATCAGGAATATGCCAATAGAAAAATGTTGTTAGACACAACAGTATTTATCCTCGATCCCAAGCAGCTCTACTGTGTTGGCTAAGGCAGAAGTCTGTTTTGAAAAACAAAACAACCCTTCCTTCCTATAAGATGTTTCCAGTATCTTTTTAAAGGTATCTGGAAAGGCTGACCTCTGATGCTGAAATCCCTTCTCTCTCGAAAAGACATGTAGCTGTTTGCTTAAGAGGAGTAGACTCTCCTATCAGACTTCGCTAGGTGCCACTCAGTCTCGGTGAGTCACTTGGTCTGACTTTGTGGATGGGCTTCTGGTTACTGTCAACCTCCACGATGTCCTTACTACTTAGATATAGCTCAAGAGAGAAGGTATGTATCTGCAGCTGCTGGGAGCTTGCCACCCCACACCCTTCCCTTTCCTCATTTCCTGTATGGCCATGATGTTGTTTCTTGTTCTGTCCCTTAGCCTAGAAACTTTGTTTTGGCTAATATGACATACAGCCAAAATTTCCTTGTATTTCAGGAGAAACTAGACCTTCGCCAGCAGCTGAATGAGGCCAAGCAGCAGCTCCTGCAGCAAGCAGAGTATTGCACAGAAATGGGTGCAGCAGTGTGTACACTGTTGTGGGGTGTATCTAGCAATGAGGAAGCTGTTAAAACCATTCTAGGAGGAGTAAGTATGGCAGGTGAATGCTTATTGGTGGTGATGCTGTTAGGTCTCTAAAATAAGGACCTTGGTTTGTAACACACCTTAATGTAAGGATATATTTCAGAAACTAATTGGACAGCAAAAATGTCTATTCTTTGGGAAGCATCCATTCTCATTTAAGAAGTATTGGAACTATAAAGTGTTACAAAGCAGTCCAGGAATAAATGTAGTAATTCTTATGTTACCAAATAAGGATTATCTGTTTTCCACTGCACATAGTTAAACTGAAAGCAAGGCTACAGATAGGACAATGTAAATATGTTTGCAAACTAACAGAAGAATAAAATAATTCTTGGGCACTTGCAGAAGTTCCCATGCCGGTAGAGAGCTTGGAGGAGCTATTTCAGTGGAAGGAAGACAGAACCATCAGTTCTCAACTTCTTTAAAGCTTTTTGCTGCCTTAATACTTGTATGACTCCTGTAAATTTAGAGAGCCTAGCTGCTTTGAGTCTAGTGAATCTTACTAAATCTTCAGGGTTAAATGTGGACAGGTAGCTTATGTGAAAAAAAACCCCAATAAACAATAAACAAAAAAAACAACCCAAACAATAGTTAAAGAAAATAGTAATATTAAAACTAACACAGTTTCATTGCCAAGTGCAGCTGATGGAATTAGAAGGGATCAGAGGAACAGACCTGATAAAAATACAATTTTCAGTCTTTTCACAGCCAACATGAGAAGGAATTGTTGTATTTAATCTGAGTTAATGGATGCAACAGTTTCTTCTGGCTTGATTTTTTCAGCAGCGTGATGAACACCTGAGCGGAGAGGGTTAGTTCATTATAGTAAGTGTTAAACTAGTGTGTTTGTAAGAGGTTTTCCAGTTTGGGTGCACCAAAATACAAGTATAACTTTATCTTGGCTATTATAAAGGTGTACAGTGATACTTCCAGTGATAACTTCTGATAACTTCAAGGTCCAAGCATAAGCAGTTACTAAGTAAAAAAAGTCTGTAAAGCACTGTATAAAGCAGTTAAAATAAATTTTTAAAAAAGACAGGCAGGTGGGTACTATAGAGGCCCCCATAGGAACAAAACCAGTATAAAACTACATTGCGTATTTTCAGAACAGTTTATAACTAAGAGTCGGACATATTTAGTGACTAGCCACTATTATTTGACTTGTGAAACAGTATTGAAACATGTTTCCCACAAACAAAACAATATCAGTGATGAAAATGACCATCTTTCTACAAGATGAGAGTAAAATTAGTAGAAGCCTTGTTGAAAACAGACTTAAGTATCAAATTGAAGGAGAATTAGGTAAAAACAAAACCAATACCTGATGATTGTATAAGGGAAAAAAGCCTAACTGTGATGATGCAATACTTTTGCTTCTAGGTTTGTTTGAAATGCAAAATACTTCTGCTACAGTAATTCCCAGCAATTGTTAGAGCCCATTGGACTGCTATACTTCTGGTGAAGGTCATAGCAACATTTTTGGGCATCATTTTCTTGTGATGGTGCACGTAACACGATAAGAAACGTGCCTGAGTTTGCAACAAGACTACTGGTAAAAACAAAAATTAATTGTATTGCATTGCATCAACCACAGATTACAACTGGCAATGAATCAGGTTATTAAAAGATGATGGAGCTTTGTCATACAAAGTTTTTGGTTTGGGTTATTTTTGACAGGTTGTACAGCTTGCAGCATGTCCAACCCTCTCCCCTGAGAGTGTGCTGTGAACTACAGAAATGTGTAAGAACACCAAGAGTGCTTTGAAACTGTTACTCATATTTAAGCATGTGATGAGAGTGGCATCAATTAGAAGTTATTTCATGCCTTAAGGAACAATGCTCAAGCTTTTTTCAGTCTTTGCACACATACAGAAGTAGGTTTTTCACACAGTTCTGTAATGCAGATTGACTGAAATGAGGTGTGGGACCCATATAGCATTTGTGTCTATACGGGTTGGGAAAGTCAATACTTGAGCAGCAGATTTGAAATGTAACTCAAGTAGTTTTCAAGGCAGTGGAGTTGCCTACTGTTTCTGCCCATTCTTAATGTTTGTAGAGAGACATCCAGAGAAGCAGTGTGAAAGAGTTTTCAAGGATGCCTACTTGCATGTGCCAAAAAAAGAAGTAAATTAATTCCCATGAGATTGTTTTAGTTGTCTTTCAAAAAAACTTCAACCACATGTGCACATGATTGAGCTCTCACATGGACATGCAAACTGAAGGCTTGATTTCAGAACAACACCAAGGCTTGCTTCAGCATGTGCAATTCTGGATCCTATAGGGTGGTCTGCTACCTCAGTTCTCTGCTGTGCTGACAAGCAGCTTTGTGTTTTATGGCAGCAATTCTGCACATTAACTGATATCTTCACACAGGAGTTACTTGGACAGCAAAGGGTTCATTGCACCATCTGAGCTCAAGCACCTTTATGGCTGCTCTCAATGTGTGTGGGTGAGACGTTCTTCAGTCCTATGAAAATACTGTCAAGCTAATAAGAGACTGTGCAGAGTATGTAATGGTTGCTATTTATAAACCTGATTGGTCTCTGCTCCAGCTCCTCAGACCTCAC